CGCCCCTTGCTGGCCCGGGAGCCGGGGCGCAGCCGCTGTGGGATGCGAGAACCCCAAGCCTCCGGGCAGAGGGGGCGGGAAGGAGGAGGACGGTGCCTTTCCAGGGGCCACAGCGCCCTTCCTGGGCCGCGCCGGCGTCAGGGGACCCCTCTCAGCGCTGCCGCCCGTGTGCGCGCTCCCTCGGACCCGGGTTCCACCGCAAGGCGCGGGGCACTGGCCTGGCTGCTCGGAGGCGCCAGGCGGCAGCCCGGGGTGGGAGGGAGGTCGTGACCCTGCTCGGCAGGGTTCGAGGAGCGGGAAGACGCGCTCCGGGTGAGGGCCCCGCGAGGTAGCCTTGGGAGTGGGTCACTTGGAGGTCGGGAGGAGGACGGCCCCAGAGACCAAGCGGCCGGCGCAATCCCGGGGGACCCAAAGCGAGTTCATCTCCGAAGCCCCGAGGGCAAGCCCGCGGAGGGGAGGGGTCTGTGTGTGCGCGCATCTGTGCGTGTGTCCGCGTGTGCGTGTGCAAAGAAGATGAAGGGGTACGTTTGCCCCGGGGCAGACGCGAGGAGACCGTCAGGGTCCCTTCCGTAGGGGGAGGTGACCGGGTGCCTGAGACTCTTGGAAGCTGAACCGGAGAGATGGGGAAGGAAGACCACAGCTTGCTCTCTCGCTCTCTCTCCAAACTGTTTTTTTCTTTTCCCTTTTTATCCCTTTTCTTTTTTTTTTTTTTTCTTTTTGTTAAGGGTTAGTAGCTCACGCAATGAGCAGGTGCAGGCTTTGCACTGGGATGCTCTGTGTACCTGAATACCGGTGCCATGGCTTCCCCAGCCCGGCAAAGCGCGGGAACTCTATGGAGGCCACGGGACCCGGAGCCAGGCCCGACCAGTTTTATGCTAATGAACGCTCACTGGGGGAGGATCTACCGAGAGGGGGCGGGAGTAGGGTAACTTGGCAGTTTCGGGGTAGAAGTGATCATTCCACCCGCTCTCACAGTTCCGTCTTGTCCCTATCGTTGGCTGCAGAGGGGAAAGTTCAGAGATACCGGGTAAAAGCGAGTAGG